CTGTGTTTTCTATGTTTTCTTTTCCTATGTTTTTATAGGGTCTACACATTTTCCACGGACGAAAGACAGCAAGAAACTTACATAAGTCCATTAAAGCAAGGCAATGCCACTCTCATAGCTGCAGATATGGATATTGCATTCAAAAGATTATAGTGAAGACAACAGGTCTACAAATAGGGAAATAAAACAGATGACAGGAGTTTGAAGTATCCAGTGCTGCCTCTGCTTCTGCATTCACACAAATTAAGAAAGAATAGAAGGACAGGCCAGAAAAAAAAGAAACATTTATACGAGAGAGACATATTCAAGACTCCCTAGAATACTTACAAATTGTAATGATTCAGAGATTGCTATTTCTTGTTTCCAAGCTGTCCCATTGTATCAAGTGATTAACAGTAGTCTAGATGAAACAACCACAGCGAGAACGCACAACTATTCGAAAGCACCACACACTACCAGTAGTAGCAAGCATCCCACCAGCAACTGAAGAGCCATTTCAGAAGGTCTATTTCAAAAGCATTTTTTTTAATCACTTGGATGACAGAATAACGCTTCTGTAAAACGTATAGGACACAGAGCAAAATCAGAAGCAAGAACATTAAGCACATGCCTCTGTCTCAGTTCTAGCACAAAATACTATAATTCATTTTAAACTCCTGATGAAGGCAATCTTAATCCAACAATGGCTCTGATGATGTATCCAGGCACATACTTCAGATGAACACATGAACTCAGATGCTCAAGCAAAAACCCCTACCGGAGGTACGAGCTTGACAACCAAGGTCCAACTATTTAAATCACGACAACAAGACTTGATAGATATCATCTGTTATCACCCTTCACATATTCATAAAGAGATTTGTATTTTTACTATGATCAAGGTTATGACATTTAGACTTCTCTAATAATGAGACTGCCTGTTCAAAAGAACAGCAAAGAACATACTTTTGTTGATGATGGCGGAGTAGGAAAATTAAGCCAGGCTGGAGCAAAGTCATGCTGCGCCATTTAGGTCCAGTCTCTCCGAATCAATGAAACAAGGCTTCAGCACCTCATGGCAAGTCCCTGTAATTGGAAAAAACAAGAAATGAGTACTTTTCAGATGCTTATCTTACAAGAGGATTACGCTTGTGGTGTTTTGATCATTATTTCCCTTCTGTTTTCTGGTATTATTTTCTCACACAGATCTGTTTTTAGAATCTAACTAGCCTCATCTCATTTGTAGCATCACATCTGCGCTTTAATACCAAAGTGTCACACTAATCAGATATATCACAGGTATCATGAAAATACAACTGTAACATTCACTCCTTTATTTCCTCTTATAAATGGGATGAAGCATCTTGCGTAAGGTCTGATCAGAAAGCTATGGCAAAATTAGCTTGTTTAAATATTTTCCGGTACTATCTAGAATGGATTGCAGGAGCTATTTCATTAGCTTCCTAGAAGAAGCTGATTTTTCAAATTAGTCCCTAAAAGTTAATCTTAGAGGGCATATTAAAGTTCCTTAATAAAAGACTAGATGCTCAGGACCACCACAAGCCCCATATTTTCTCTAGATTTAATGGAAACAGTGTTTACATGTTCAGAAATACTGCCAAAATCCAGTAAAACTCTCTAGTTTGAAAATGGGCAAGAAAAGGTAATGGCTTAAGATAAAACCCAAGAGTATTTTTCTACCCCATGCTCTCTCCACAGGTGGGAAAACATCTCTCAGTAAGCAAGAGAATGCAAGATAATGCAAGCTATATTTCTTGAAGCTGAACAATAGCACAGAAGGGAAAGAAATAGATGAAACTACCTGAATTATAAGGGTATGTGAATCATGCTCTGCAGCTAGATACTGCAAAATTGTCAATGACTCAAAAGTATCTTAAGTAGGATATACACACTATTAGAAATTCAGCTAGTGAAAACATAATTAACATCCACATGCATTTTACAGGGAGACCCAAATAAACGCATATTCCACATCTCTGCACAACAGAGTGCAGATCTGTTAGTCAGTGAGCACAGATATAGTTCACTTTAATCCAAAGCTGCTGTAATTTAAGTAAGTTTTAGTAAGAGATGTAGAATCTGAACTTGATAACTGATAATTATTGTTGTATTTTGGCCTGAACTGGACTAATGCAGACTTCCAGTGACAGAAGAGAATGTTCCAACTTCTAAAAGGAAGTATAGCAGATCTGTAAGCATTAAACTGAACTACTTAGTTGAGCTGCTAGTTCTTTTTTATGCAGTGAGCTCATAGTAAAGTTTTTAGGTACCTCTGATATCAAAGTTAAACTATAAGATGTACAAAATCCACTATCATTAAATAGAGACAAGTTTAAAACTATGTGCCACCCAAATAACTTGTTATAAATTACTCTACTGAAGTCAACACTCTCTTCTAAATTAACTTCAAAAGAAATTCCAGAGAAATTTTCTAAAGAATCTGATTATGTCAGACTAGTAAAAAAAAAAAACAAAAACAAAACACCACAAACAAAAAAAACAAGGAAGTTCTAGAGTCACAGAACCATCACAAAAATGGCTTCTCTTTCTAAATAGGAACCAAGTTCACTTTTACTGATTAATCATGTTCAGCAATGGTATAGAAACAGAAAAGGGTAGATGTTTACAAATGAACCAATACAAGAGATGCTAAATTAAGAAATAGCAAATTAAATGTGAATAGACTACAGCAAGAAAAATATTTTTTTTCCTCCTTCCCTCAGATACAGTTCTCATCTCCAAGCAAGAGTATAATGAAATTTTTAGAAAGGACCAAGACAGGTATCAATACTGGAAAATCAGCACAACAACAACATCATCATCATCTTCAGACCAAGGTACTTACATTCTAAAAAACAAATGGAGAGATTAGGTTCGTTCCAAGTAAGAACGTTCCAAAAAAGAACGTTCCAAATAAGAACGTTCCAAATAAGAACGTTCCAAAGGATCCAAAAAGTATTACCAAGTTATTGGTGAATCAGCTATTAGGGACAACAAAAGCACTAACAAAGTGATTTCTTAACAAATTAGCCTTACTGTTTTTAGAAAACTAGTCAAGCTTCCTAACACTACTATTTATCCAACTGCCATGAAAAACGTTTATTCTTAACTTACTAACATCCCTACCTTTTACCTTTGCACATAAATCAAGGGCTGAGGTGAGACTTGGTGATCACCAAGTTTTTAAGGATTGGAAAGGTGTTTTTAACCAAACTTTGTCCACAGCTCACTGATACTGGGTGTATATTTCTTCCCACAAAAATTATTCTAGAAGCAGATTCAAGTCTTCCCCATGTTCTCAGTTCTCCAACTAAAAGCTCTAAAAAGGTTTTTGATAGTGCTGCTGAGTCAGATGAGTCAATCCCTTTCCTCCAAAACAGTATAGTGAAGTGACAAAGAAAGAAGCCTGGGCCAAAACTAAACAATACTCAGAGTGCAAAGTCAGCAGCAGAACATCTGTAAATTTCAATAAGCCCATAAAAGAAACTCTTTTAGGCCTAATTCTTCCAACTAATTTTGATAAAAGAACAACAATAACAAAAGCACAGATGTATTTTTAGAACCATTTTCATAGGTTTACAGTTAAAGACTACCAAGAAAAGCAACTACTGAGGATACTGATCTCCACACCACTGAAGTAAAGAAAACACTTTCTCTTATCTGATTGTACATATTATTGGCCTGGCAATTAGACACAGGAAAATCAAGTATTTTCATTATTAAACCTTATTTACTCACTAACTTCTAAAAGGCATAAATACCCTATCCATAATTAAATTGGGAAACACATAGCAGATCAGGAAAGGACAAATATTAATATCTTCTTTTTTTTTTTAAACTACATTTTAGATTACACAGCCTACCCAGCTTTAAGTTGACAATACCATGTTTTACCGGGCTTCATACATACTCTTATAGATGCTACCTTTCTGATGTTGCCAACAAGTTTGTCCCAGAATGTATTTTAATATAAAAACATTTTCACTACAAGCATGAGGTCTGTTTTGATGATCTAGCAAATAACCAATGGCTCTAGGATACTCTTCAGTCTTAGGAAGATATTTTTGGTAAATTGAAAATAGATCACAAAAAGAGAGAATGGGATGTCAGCAAGACCACTCTGCTGCCACAGACAGGATTTGCTATGCTTAAACCCTTTGTGATCAGCTTGGTTGCCAAACATCAGTTTGATTGATTCTTCATTGCTTTCCAATTTAAGTTAGACCAACAACTGAGACCATCACTTTCTTCTGCAACATGCCCCAGTATTGAACTACTCATACATCACTAGAAAGGCATCTTCTATAAGGTCATAGACATAAGCCTTTTTTCCTGCTATTCAAGTCCATTACTTCTTAAGCTATCCCCAACAGAGACATTTCTGCATTGTGTCCCCCAAAGCACTTGCAACCTCTATTCAGATTCATAGATCTACAAATTTAATAAGTGCACATTCCATTTCATGATTGAAGTTATTAATAAAAATACTGAAGAGACTTCTTTAGAAATTCACTTGATACATCAAACAAGAGCTACCTTTACAAAGACTGAGGAGCCACTAAGGCAAATAGGCAACATTGAACAACAATTTAGAAAAAAACTTCTGCCTTTCACAAACATGGGACTATCCTACTTTTAAATAAATTAAAAACAAAAATTCCTTTCAAGTATTTGAATAGAATGAAAGTTAATAATATGCACCCATACAAGCATTTACAGGAATTTGCTTTAATTATACTGACAGACCATGAAGAACTCATTTGTCTGCTAGCAAGCCTTCTCTTACATACACACACCACACAACAGATCAACCGCTGTTCATTAACACTGATAAAACAGCTGTTGTACTCCCAGCATTAATACAGCTATCAGAAGTAAGCTTATTGAGGTAAGCTCCACAGATCTGAATGCTATTCCACTGCTTTCAGAAACTCTCTCGGTAACAAAAGATCAGGCCCAAAATTCATCGTTGAATGATGAATTCATCGTTCCCTGGTAGCACAAACTCAAAATATACCTACCATTCTCTAACAAAAGTATCGTAAAAGCTAATTTGGTTCAGGTTGTCTATTACTGAAGCAGAGCTACACAATTCTAGAAAGGCAAGAAAAAGACACTGAAATACTGCTATCCTCATACTATTAACACTCAAATACATTTAAGTTTCTTTAATCAGATTGGTCAAAATATTCAGTCTAATCTCAGCAATAGTCTCTGGTGTCAGATTCAAGTACTGCGTAGTGACCTCAGAAAAAAAAGTCTTCCATAGCCCATAAATTCAGATAAATTTTATCTTTTGCTGTGTTGTGGATAGCAGAATAGTTTACAGCAAAGAAAAAAACACACCTGTTCTTAAATTTTACTTCTTGTCAGGCATATCTGAAAGAAGTCTGTAAGGACTGTACTGTACTGATGTACAGTAAAGAGATTTGTCATAACTCAGTCACCCACACCGAGCCACATGAGCAGCTGAAATAAGAACACTGCACCACGTATGCTTAACCAACATCCAAAAAGGTTGGGCTGGGTAGTTGTTTGGTTTTTTTGTTTTGTTTTTTTATGGTTGAGTCAATAAGGTCCTTTTGTGACAGAAAGTATTTTTCACCAGTTTTAAAGCAGCTGGAAACACTCACTTTTTAAACAAACTTATTTGTCTCATCTGAAGAGCATTCAGGAAAAATTAATATATTGCCTCTGTTTTAGAAAAAGTAACATGCTGAGAAAAGGGAAGCAGAAAGCCACTGTATGAATCAAAGTCAAGACTTCTGCAAAAAAATTACCAAATTAAATGAAGAAATCAAACAGTACAGTCAATTTTCCCTGCACTACTACATTTTTCTTTTTTAAATCACAGAAATAGATACAAGTAAAAATCACACTTAGAATAACAACACAGAAATTCAAAATTTTACTTAGTGCAATAATGAACTATTTCAGTGATCAGGGACAAGAAAAGTCTAAGAAAACTACTTGGGCTTGCTTTGCCTCACAAAATTAGGACCTAAGAT